CTGCAAGAAACAATGTAAACATTATCATTCTGAAAAACAGAGTTATAACACTTCCATTTACACAGAGCTTAATCCATATCTAGAAAAGTCCATGATTTACGACACAGTTTACTGGCTGTTCTCACACACCACAAATATGCTCCATCGCTCCAACTCTTGCAGAAGACAAAACCTTGGAGATATATCAAGAAATTGCTGTACACATTGTACACAATCTTGGATCTGAACCTGCTTTGGTGTGCTGGGCAAGTACTTTCAACACAAGGCTACCCTACAGCCCCTTAAAACTACAAAAACCTTTCATCTGAGAATTGTGTTTTTCAGTGCCTTTGTTCTGACCTTTCATGAAATGAAGTCTGGCCAATCACCAACCTAGAACAGTTCACACAGACTTCTTTTTTGTTTTAACTGATGTTTTTCACCAAGTTGTGAAGACAATGTGTTAAAAGATATGTCTGTGAATCAACAGCTCATCAAAGCCTCCCGAGAAATTACCACATGCAAAGATGGCCATTAATCTACTTCTCCCTCCTCATACGTCACTGTGAACACGTTTGAAGCCCGTTCTCGCTTCCTAATGACAAAATAATAAGCAAATCCCTTAGTCAGCACCTCTTTATCACTTCCTAATCTAATAAAACTGCATTTTATTTCAAATGAGAATTTAATTGCATGTTAGTTTGGAGGCAATAAACACAATGAGCAAGGAACTTCTTCATGTTTCAAAGGTTGCTAAGATGTATTTAAATCTCATTTGGTTCATTTTTTCAATATATTGAACGAAATAATGTAAAACGTTTGCAATTGTTTAAAAACTATTCAAGTAATGACAAAACAATTCAATTATTCATTTTTTCACCCAATTTACAACCAATTTGCAAAAAATGTATAGAACACTTGCCAAGGTATGGCAGTGTGTTTAAACCCAAATCAAATTCTCTTGCTTTTATTTTGAGTTAATTGAAAAGTAATTATTTTTTTCCTTTTTTTAAAATACAGATCCTCCTTCTCGTGTTTATTACACATTCCACCTGTCCTTTCCCCTCATTTGATTCAAGTCCATGAGTTATCTCCCTTTGACCACGAAATATTTCAAATCTTCACCAAAACTTTCAATCTATCAAGGTAAGTGCTGAATTATCTAGAACTTCTCAACACCAAAACTATCTTAGAAGTTTCAGAATTGATAACTAGATTGAGAATTTTGTGAAAATAAAACACAGCTGTAAAACAAAATTGAATTTTGGACAAACGTATCCATCAAGTATGAAGATCAAAGTGCCACTGTTTGTTTAATGCCAGGCTGTTTAGTTTAACTTTGAAAAATAGTTTATGGTGATAAGTTTTGCTATTTTGAACCTCTGCAAGAAACAGTGAAATTAATGAATAATTCTGTGTTGTAATAAAACTGTCACTGCTTGTCATACATGCGCTGATCATCAGCCGGGAATATCCTATATCAAAAGACTTTAATAACTGTATATTTTTAATCATCAACACTGTATAAAATTCAATAACTAATCACCGATTTTAAGATGCTGTGGAGTGTAATATCACATGAAACTGAACTTACGATTGTCATATCAATAAAAAAACAAATCCGATTTGGGAAACTCTGACTGAAACCTCGCCCCAACATTTATCACATGACAAAATCTCCGAAAGCTGTAAAATCATAAAGATTTCAATCACAGACATTTTGATTGCTTCCTGCCTTCTGACCAAAGTGTGAAGATTCCTCAGAAATAATTATGATTACAACCAAAATCGGTCTGCGCCAAAGACGGATATTGTAGAAAAATATTAATTCATGTTGGTGTCCGTGAGTAAACACTTTTAGATGCTATGAGATCTGATGTTTATATTCGTTACCGTGGCGATGTAATTTGATTAGAAGTATTGACTTGGGAATTCACTGGAGATTCATTCATGGGTGATTCAGCCAGTCATGAAAGATACATTTTGCAGAATATCAGCGTGACGTTTATACCCTCAAAGCTGACTTGGAGCAAATTCAGAAAGTTTTGCACCTTGTATAAAAATTTATTTTTGCCATAACATTCAAATGTGCAATAGTAGACTATTTATAGGGCTTATTGCACGTCATCTTCCGACACCAGGAATCTCACTATTAGGATACCCATAGAGTTTACGACAGTATTTATGCCAGTATTTACAAAGTATTTTATGTAGCACAAACCCTCTCAGTCATTGCGCGCTACAAATATAGAGAGATTTTAGCAACAGAATTTATAACCATATTTTCATAGCAAACTGAAAAAGCAATAAATATTTTTCAGATGTATTATCAACACCTAACCAAAGAAAAATTGATTGTCTGTATTTCGCAAACACTGTTGATCGTTGCAAAAGAAATGCAGCGATTACCATTATATCAAATCTTTTCTCCATACAAAGTGTCCATTTCGCTACCAATTAGTCCCTGGGCCGATGAAGATGATGAATCGTAAAAACATCCACAATCCTAACAATCAGCTCGCTAACGATTGGACATCAATATCTGAACCGTCCATTATCAATAAAAGATTCCAGGATCAATTTATGGTTACTCATGCCAAGAAAATATGATTGCGCTCGCAAACATAAATAACTTGTCCTATAAAGACAGAGCTATTAATAACAAGGCTATCTGGTCAGATCACGTTCTTTGTAAATATTGTCGGAACCTACACAAGTTCATTATAGCTCCTTCCTTGGAGATCTGCCTTTGGTTAACATGACGTATCACCACCAATGGTTAATAACATGACGTATCACCACCAATGGTTAATAACATGACAAGAGCGTAATGTGGAAGTACGTGTGTATACTATAAACGATGTACTCACAATAAATGTTGCCCTCCATCAATCAAATTGAGTTCAAATCATACTTTTAAAGGCTTTTAAAAAGTCCATATAAGGTACATTTTGAATATCATATTGAAACATGGCCTGTTTTCCCCCAATATAATGAAATAAGAACATAATTATGCAGATGTCAATGTCATTGCCATTATATCACCAGAATGATATTGACCAACAATTATTACAACTTCCTTTTTTTACAAAGCACATGCATAATTAATCTCCACAACACCTAGGTCACATGACCATCACAGTGCGATCACATGACCTGTCCACGAATATTGTCATATTCACCACCTGCTGTAAAATAGGATTGATTTTCGAGGCTGAAGTATTGTTGATTTTGTCTATGATGTAATCCTTCGCATAATCATTATTAATAAGTGCCTTGCTTGTCAGATCTGTATATATCTGCAATCTGTTTCCATGACAACCAAAGATAAACATTAGTTTATACATCTGTTATCAGTAGACTTCAAAATCAATGCTATTTCTCAGGAAAATACACCTGAATACATAAGGAAAGAAAAGTATTGTGATCCTCACAAGAATATTTTCTAATTGTGTGTACAGTGATTAAAAACACTATAATTATGTGGAAAAAAGGAACTGATGTCTGTCTTTGAAAGAGTATTCCAGTTCTACCATGATGCGTCTGCTTACTGTGGGAGGACAGTCTGGTGATACGAGTATAGTATTGATAATGATCTTAAACAGGGGGAATCAGACATCCAAACACATGATGCTTCGATCAGAATCATATTCCTCCTCCATTCTTGAAAAGTGAATGTTTGGAATTTCTCCGACATATTTTCCTTCAGTCTAACTGGAAAAGTGCCTGGTTACAAGATAATGGATGTTGTCTCTTCGAAGGAATTCCATTTCTATAAAACTGACACCAATTCCAAAATAATTTGTTCCTTGACGTCACCTTCCCCTCGTATCGATATATTTCTACACAACCAAGACATTAAACAACATTATTCTTAAGAAATAGCATTAAAAGTCAAATTACTAAATGGTAATTCATGTAATTGATTCTTCTATAGTCTTCTCTACCTCTTGCTGTTTGCTCGGTTTACCCGTGTATCGTCACAATTTCCAGTCATGCTTATGAAACAAAAACCACACACTCATTTTCTCTTTCTCATGAATAACAAAACTTACAAAATTAACCAAGCAATTAATCAGATAATGACTATGAAATATATATGAAGTCTTTAAATTACAAAATCAATATATTCATACTATATTTCCTGAAAGTCCCTCTCTCATTTCTAAGCTAACGATACTATTTTCTGTCAACCCAAAATCTAAACCTAAACCTATGAGACTCTATTCAAAATTCAGCCGATTAAAATAATTTCTCAAGATATCAAATTAATTTCTCTAACACACATTAGTGGACAGATTAGTCCCAGAGTATAGAGTGTCCACGACTCGCTCAAATTTCTAAATGACTTCTGCCAGTTCTCATACAACACATGGTGTCCGCCACACACAGGTGTTTAGCGAGCGTTCTGTTGCATACACTATAGCCCACAGGCAATACTTAGGACATTCAATTCCTTTATCTTACTCAAATCAAATTTAGTCGCCACTGGATCGGCGACAAATATAAGTTTTCTTCTCATTAGTACCAAGTATAGACCAATGAAACGTGAGTTAAAACAGCTGCCCTGAGCTGCAAATGTCAGGTATCAGTATACTATTTCCTCACTTGCATCGTGGGTAAACTTGTTGCAGCGTAATAAATCATATGATGGGTCATTTCATAAATGAATTTACTGTAAATCCACACAAAAATGTCACTCGATATTTTTATTTAGTTGTCGTTTAACAACACAGTCACCGATGTTCCTGCTACATATCAGTGACAAGTAAATAATCCAGTTTGGACCAGGCAATCCAGTGACTGATATAGTGAGCATCAATCATCGCAGCCCACCATTGTACAATGTAACATGTAGGCTCAAATGGTACGAACTTGTCCATCTGCAAGGAATTAACTTGTCTTTTCCTACAAGCAGGTTTTGATACGTATTTAAACCCTGAACTCCACAAAAACATATATTTTTCTCTTAGGTGTAACGTCTAATTATAACCACAAGTTGAGTTTCACATTACAAAATC